GCGGTGCGGAGGTGCAACCGCCTGACGCATCATCGCTACATAAGCATTTCAAGTGTCATCCAAATACAAAAGTAGGAGCAATTGTGTGTTTAGTATGTGGAAATTTCTATCATACGAGTGAAATAGTAGCAAAAATCAATGCAGGAAATGCAATCAAACTAATAAACAGCTCTTTCATAATATGCCAGGAGCATCCAAATTTTGCACTAACATCAAACTTGCCATATGGGGACTTAAGTGAACAAGCTAGTGCTTTCATAACACAATTCAAACTTGTAAGTAGAGAACAATTAAAACAGGAAATATTAAATGGGCTTGTGCATGAAAAGCAAATTTTAAATGAAAACGATGATCATATGGATGTAACACAGATCAGTGATTTGGATGAATTACAACAATTAAAAGCCGAAAATAACCTATTGAAAGAACTGTACAAAGAAACAAAAGAAAAAAATGAATTGCTCAACGAACTACTAATTAATAACTCTTAATAATAATTATTTATTAATAACTCTTAACTATTAATTATTAACTCTTTAATTAGTATTAAAGAAAAACAAAATAAAAATGTAAATACTAACATTATGAGAAAAACATATGCTGAAACAATTGCACTACCAAAACCTAAACCCAAAAGAATACCAAGATTAATAATAAAGAAAAAGAGTAATGATAACATAAACTTAGAAAATCAAGTAGCACATTACTTAATTAAAGACAAAAACATACAAACAAACAAAAATTTACAAATAAAAATACTGACACAATAATTATCAACTGCATGACCGAAGAAAATGTCACAATATTAGAAAAAACTATACAAAAAAACTACCGGCACTTACTGTTCTAAAAGAAGAAATACGTAAATCGATAGTTAAAGTAGTAGGTATTTCTAAAGCTTTCACAACAAATGTAAAAGATATAGAAACTGATATTAATGCAAGAAATTTTAGTCAATACGAAGATAAATGCAAAGTAAATCATGTATTTACAAATGAAAAAAATAAAACAGTAACTGCAATAGTAGAAGTTCCATCTATTCTATATAAACATATAAAAAACAATAGTAAAAAATTATTTATTGGTTGTCAAAACTGCAGAGTCTTTGACGTCATCAACACATATCCGTGTTACAACTGCTCAGGTTTTGGCCACGGGGGTGGAAAGTGTGAAAAAGCAAAAAAAGAGCCAACGTGTTATAAATGTGCAGGCAAGCACGAAGCAAAAATGTGTAGTAGCAGCATACTCCAATGTCCAAACTGTATTTTCCACAATGAAACATATAGTAAAAACTACAACGTTAACCATAGTGCAATCGACAGCGAAATGTGTGAAGTTTTAAAAATGAAAATAAAAAGGTATATTGAAATGACAGATTATCCAATTCAACCAACTCATCAAAGATATTTTGGTAGAATAAACTTTGAAACAAACACCCGCAAGATATATAACCGTCCGAGAATAAATAACAGTTTATCGTTATCATCATTATCTACACCAAGTCCAACAGGTAATAAAACCAGGAATACTAAATAGTTTTCTGCAATATTACAATATGGATAACAGCTTATATGATATTATATTTGAAAATGAACATAAAACAGATAATATTGATGAACTAGACAAATATATATGTAAAGAAAATAATATCATTCTATGTATAAACATCAGAAGCCTAAAAAAAAATTACAATAAATTGCTAGTATTTCTGAAGAACCTCGAAAAAAAACCATTTACAATAGTATGCACAGAAACATGGAATTTAGAAAATCATGAAATATTCAATATTCCAGACTATAAAATATATTACAATGAAAGTAAAATAAACAAATCAGATGGAGTTGTTTTGTATATGAAAGAAGAAATCACCGAAATTACAGAAATTCTTGAAATAGATAAATTAAAAATAATTAACTCTAATATTACACTAGAAAACAACAAAAATTTGATGCTGTCTGCAATTTACAGATCCCATGATTTATCTAAATCTGAATTCCTATTGAATCTCAAAGAATTATAGAAAATCTCCCTAAAAACACTTTTTACAAAAGTAAAAGGTTGCATGAATGCTTTTTTAACTTCCTTGCCATTTTTATCGCTAAAACCTTGCTACTTCGTCCACAGTTATTTTAATTTATAAAAATGATACGAGCGTTATATATTACTTGCTCATACACGTACAGACAGATTTTTGTATCCTATACTAAAAATTATCCATTTTTCACATATTACTCTGTTTAGATCTTAACTCAATAATAGAATTTTCTTATTCGTCTTTAAACTTTTGAAAGTACTGAAATCAATATAAATAAAGCACGGATGCCATTTATAAGTGTAACATCTTAAGGACCAAAAGAATCGATAAAATACTAAAAACTCGATGATTTTATATGTCTAGTTCTCTATGTCTAAACATCATTGTTAACAATGACTGAAACATGTTCAGTATCTATCTTTAAATAATGAATCATTTTTATGTATTTAAATTGATATATTAGATACACTACGTCTCGATCAACCTTATTTTTTTATTAGGATCGTTTTTAAATTTTTGAAAGAAATGAAATCTATTTGAAAATGGCACGGATGCTATTGATTCATTTCAGCTGCTACATAACAAATAGTCACGCATTATTTATACGTTGAAATTTTCAATAACTTATATAAATTTTTGGCAACTTTTATTCTTGCCGGGCCAGTCCGCCAATAATATCAGGTACAAGCATGGACAATAAAATATTATAAAATGAATTACTCTTATCCGTGTACTGAAAATGAATAATATCTAACGTTAAAAAATTATTACCAAGAACTTTACGTTTCTACCTGGTATAAAAAAATTATTTTTCACTATGTATCAAAAAAAATATTTCGATATAAATTTAAAAATTGTAAAAGTGACTTTAGTATTTGCTGAACCACGCAATAATTAATAGAACAGTATTGTATACTTTTCAGTTGAGTAGTAAAATCATCTGAGTATTTCATTAAAAACTTACAAATACAAATTAATTATAGGTTTACCAAAGACAATATTGATAAAAATATTAAATAATGATAGTAAGGGTGCGTATAATGAAAAGTTAGCTGTAAATTAATCATTTCTTTTTAACTCAGGCGACAGGCCCGGCAAGAATAAAAGTTGCCAAAAATTTATATAAGTTATTGAAAATTTCAACGTATAAATAATGCGTGACTATTTGTTATGTAGCAGCTGAAATGAATCAATAGCATCCGTGCCATTTTCAAATAGATTTCATTTCTTTCAAAAATTTAAAAACGATCCTAATAAAAAAATAAGGTTGATCGAGACGTAGTGTATCTAATATATCAATTTAAATACATAAAAATGATTCATTATTTAAAGATAGATACTGAACATGTTTCAGTCATTATTAACAATGATGTTTAGACATAGAGAACTAGACATATAAAATCATCGAGTTTTTAGTATTTTATCGATTCTTTTGGTCCTTAAGATGTTACACTTATAAATGGCATCCGTGCTTTATTTATATTGATTTCAGTACTTTCAAAAGTTTAAAGACGAATAAGAAAATTCTATTATTGAGTTAAGATCTAAACAGAGTAATATGTGAAAAATGGATAACTTTTAGTATAGGATACAAAAATCTGTCTGTACGTGTATGAGCAAGTAATATATAGCGCTCGTATCATTTTTATAAATTAAAATAACTGTGGACGAAGTAGCAAGGTTTTAGCGATAAAAATGGCAAGGAAGTTAAAAAAGCATTCATGCAACCTTTTACTTTTGTAAAAAGTGTTTTTAGGGAGATTTCACTTATTTCAATGGAAGCTATGGTTACGACTGAATACTACAATAATAAATTCTACTAGACTTGACTAGAATATTAGTCATTCTAAAATACATTCAAGTAGTGCAAATAAGAGTTGAACTTAGTCATCTTTTGGCACCCGTGCGCCACGTTCGGAGAGTTGATGCGAAACATCTTATATTTTCTTTACAAGATCACTTTCTTTTTGGTGCTTTAATTTGTTCTAAAAATATTATATATATATCTTTCGAGCCTTTAGGCCATGATTTTTTTGTGCATTTAGAATCAGATGTATGAAACCAATAAGTTTCTTCGCGTAATACATTAAAATAATACCCATTGTCCATACTTGGTCCACAATGAAAAATTGCACTTATTACCCTAAAACATTTATCATCTATAGAAATTTTCGTCTTTGGCACATCATTAATCTTGAATCCAGTTAATTTATTATTGTCTGAAAACAGTGACAGCCTAATTATTAAAATTTTTTCCAAATCAATACGGAGAGAAACTTTTTTTTGTTTTTTATATTTACAGTTATTATGACAAGTTTCTTGAATATCGCGCCAAACATTAATATTTTCATCTATAATATTCTGCAACGTATATGCCCCATTTTTTTCTGTATTTAAGTATAAATTTAAAATGCAATTACATGTTGTAATTGGATCGGGTCTAAAATCACAACCTGGGCATCTTATCCCAATGGTAAGCTCATGTGTAGTAAGTTTGCCTATTATTCCAAATTTCATACATATATCCGATAAATAATCTGCAGCATCCTTTTGAATTAGGAATGAATACTTGGTAGTATTAAGAAAATTTGAAAGCGGGACTAAATCAACCAAAGTTTTGGTAACATATTGTTTAAATATTTGTAAAAGTATATCTTGATCCTTGGATTCAAGTAAATGTTTTCTAATCAATTGGCAATGAAATAAACTCTGTATACATGATTTAGCGTAAGATAAGCTATTTTTATCAGGCAATGGATAGATGAATGAACTCAACGGACATTGTAAAATATTATTAACATTATCAGCTTGAATCTGCAATGATATATGACGTATATACACTGCAATGAGTATGACGTGATATAGACCAAACACTGTCAAATATTTTATTACTTTTGTAAACATCTTTAACAGGAACATTATAAATATCAAGATCTGTACGATATTGATTTCTCAGTCTATTATATTATTTTATAGCAGACTCATCAGCTTTAATACTAGAAGGATCCAAATTAATTAAATGTAAACCTTTTAGTTTAGTGACCCTAGATAAAGCTACGTACGTTTGACCACAACTAAAAATGCTGTTTCCAGCGTCTATAACAGCATTTTCTAAACTTAAACCTTGACTTTTATGAATAGTTATAGCATAACTTAGACAAATCGGAAATTGTTTTCTCGTAATAAATACTTGATCTAATATTTGAAATTGGTATTCTAATTGTTTGATAGAATACTCTTGATTTGATTGAAGTCTAATAGTCACGCTATCTATACCTGTTTTTCCTTTGGTCACTGCAATAACTGTTGCTATAGTTCCATTAACTAATCCGATGGACACATCGATATTTCTTCGTATCATAATTTTACAACCTATTTTGATTGTGATTACTCGAGAAATGCCACAAACGTTGTCATCATCTTCGTTTAAAATTTTCAAAACACGTTTTTCTAGTCTCTTTGGACATTTGTAACAATCATTAGCAATTAGCTTTATCTCTTCACACTCTAGTTTATTCAACATGGTATTATTAAGTATTGAGTACATATCTTTAGTCGGCATCAAGCATACCGTATTGGTAGGCAAATTACTCAAATATTGGCACAGTTCATGAAAAGATTTTGAAGGAATATTGCTGGAAAAAGAAATCTTTCTTTTCAGTAAAGTTTCTATATCAGAATTAGTTAAATAACCTAATCTTAATTTTCCTAAAATTTCTGAGTAACCTTTATCATTTTTCTGTCTCATATTTATAGTCAATTCCTCATATTCGAACAAGGTCCATAAATTAAATGATAACATTCCTTTAATGTATTTATCAATTTGCGATCTTGTCAGTGAAATGAAAGCGAATTCTTCTCGCACAGGTGGTAGTTGAAGTAAATCGCCAAAAACTACAATATGTATTTTACCAAACCAACCGTCTTTTTTGTCTGATGTGCAAAAAATCTCTGTCAGTCGTAAATGTATATACGTAAGAGTTACGTTTGATATCATAGAAATCTCATCAATAATGATGAAATCAACATTCTTTAAACTTTGACGTATTCTTTTCAACGCATTATCCGATAGAGGTTTATATTTTGCCGTGCCTCCTTGCTCTACAGGTAATTGTAATAATCTGTGAACTGTCAATCCCTGAATATTAAATGCTGCAATACCAGTCGGAGCTGCAACAGCGGTATTTTTATTTCTCTTTAGTTTGTTCCATAATACCAAGTTTTCAATCAGGTAACTTTTACCAGTACCTCCAAATCCGCTAACAAACAGTCTTATTACTTTATTGTCAGATGACATTGTAGATGTAATTGTATTAAATATTCTTAATTGATCAACATTTAAATTTTTGATTGATTGATCTACGTCAATATCTTTTGTTTCGGCAACCTTTTCAATCAAATCTTGAACATCTTTTATAACTTCTGTAGCGTCAAGAGGATCAGCAATTTCCAGATGTTCTGATTTTTGGGTCAAGGTCTTTTCCAATTCTTGTTGCTTGATTAATTTATTAGCCTCATCCATAGCATTTTGAATCATCTGCAGCTTATCATGATATTTAAGTGCTGCAGATAAATCATCTTTTATTTCAATAAAAGCATTATGATATGTTTCTTGGTTTCCCTTAAGTTCCTCGGTATTTCTCCAAGGTTTAAATAATATCAATATAGAAAAATAATAGGCTTCAGGTTGTGTTTGAGGATTGTACTTCATATGAAGAACTAAACGTGCTTGTTTTCTTTTTCTGCAATATAAATTTTCATCCATTTTATAATATTCAGCTTTGCGAATTGGCTTTTTTTCCATATATCGAAAAATCTCGCAAAATCATATAAACACATGGTTTCTAACTCTATAGGGCGCTTTGGATAGTATGTATCAACTAAATTATCACAAAAGATATCCGTTGAATCTTCAGATAATTGTTCCATTGCAACTTTTGATTTTAATTTTCTTTTTTTTTCAAAACCAACGTCAACCTATATAAAAGTAGTATTTGGATCTGTTTCATGAAGTGGATGACCTAATAAAGTATCAGCCGCTTCTATAGCTCCACATTCTCTGTGAGTAAGTCCGCGCGTACCTATGGCCCAAAGTCTACTGCAAAGAGACCTATTCAATGCTATATCAGAAAGATCCAAATTACTTTTTTCACCTTTTGTTCCATAACATGTAATGTAATACGTCAAAAGATACGTTGATTCACCAATAAATTGAGCATCGGTGTTTCCTTCCCATAAAGCTAATATAGCAGGCATATAGTCGTTCGTATATTGTTCATTAAAATCTCGAGGCAGATCATAAAGTCTACTATTGTTTTTCAACTTTCTACGATTTGTTATAGCCATAATAACATCACGTAAAATAAATTCTTTTGTTGTCTTTCGCGGAAATTCGAAACGACAAGCGGATATAAAACCACTTCGTGTTTTATTTTTACGCATACAATAGTCATTATGTTTGTGTTGTTGATATTCCATTACTCTACGATACATATTTGGAGATGTATATTTATTAGGTAAACGACAAGTAATGTATTGCATTATAAATTTTTTTACATCTTCATTCGAAGATATGCCGTATACTGGAGTATCTTTTATCCAGAAAATACAATGAAAATGAGGTAACCCTCGACCTTGATACTCTCGAACATAATAATAGTGTTCAATTATTCCTATAGGTCTTGCGTCGGAAAGCAAATAAGCCATCATGGCTTTGAACTTTTGTTCTATGAAAATTGCAGCTGGAACAGGATAGTCAACGACGAGTTGACTAATAGATCTACTATCATTATCCAATGATTGATAATCTTGTATAAATTCACCCAAATCCGGCCAGTTCCATTCTGCGGGACTTAAGGTTACGAAAAATGTAACTGGGCCATATTCCTGGGTCATACAATTGAGTTCTCTTCTAGGTTTTATCCAGTACGCTTCAGTTCCTCTTAAGCGAGCAAAAATAGAATAAAGATTTGATTCTAAAAGATTCTCCTCCAATTGTTTCTTGAAATTTCCAGCTGTATATTTATAACGTGTATCTACAACATGTAACATGTGATATATTCCTGCATTCAGATTTCTCATATTGTTATCGTGTAAATAGTAAAAAAGTAATTGTTTGCTTTCTCTAAATTGTGAATGTTTAGAGGTCAATATGTGTTTAATAAAATCAGAATCTCTTAATCGTATATTTCTCGAAACGCGTTGGCCACATTCACCGTAAGGAAAAATGTCTGGAAAACATTTCAAATCCAAGTCACTGTCATTGTAAGCCAACGGATTTTCATATACTTTTTTCATTTGGTATAATTTTGTAGCCGATTCATTAGGTTTTTTTAGTATGTAAAGCATTTATTGTATATTCATCGTAAAATGTGTCCGATTGCGATTTTGCAGTCAATAAAGCTTCTGCCTGAGGCAATTTAGAATTTGTAGCTCTGTTATAATTTTCATCGACTTTGTCTTCATTATTAACAGAATCTTCTTCTGCATACTCTAAATCTACATCTTTTAGTTCATTTAGTAAATCTTCTGGATTAATGGGAAGATTAATTTTTGAATAAAGATGATTGTTTTCTTTCAGCCATTTCAAAGCATTCCATATTTTTTTTACATCAACGTATTCCTCCCAAATAATCTTACCTTTAGTAGGAATACTTCTAACCAATATGTATAACTCATGATCCGTGTTCAGAGGATCCGTTTCTTTACACAATTTTTGTAATGTCTCATGTAATGGTAGAGGTAAATGAAAAACTTTCCCCACGAGCTTGTCATGACGTGCGTAATAAGGTATATTTTTCTTCATAATAGTACCTTTTTTCTGGATAACTTGAAATGATTTTGCACGCTGGATTAAAATCTTTTCATACATATTCAAAAATTTCAATTCATCTGGAATAGCTTTGAAATAAAGATTGTTTAAAAGACACGTTGGAGGTATCTTATTCTTTTTAAGCTGCTCCAAACAAGATTTGCAAATCTTACCATTGAGGAATATTTCCATCGAATTATTATTTACATAATATTCTACTAATTGCTGCCAAGCATTATTAATAATTCCTAATAATTCGCATGCAACATTTGATTCATAATCTTTAACATCTTTTATACTTTTTTCACGGCATAATCGTTCGCAAGAAACACAAACATGTAGAGGAAGGTCTTTTAAAAATTTGTAATAAACTTTGACACCTCCGTCCAATTTCTGTAAAATTTCATTCTCATCCAAAGTAACTTCATCGGTTTTTGTAGATGAAAAAAATAAAGACATTGAAGCTTTCGATGCCATATCTTCTAATTTCTCCAAATCACCATTATTTAAAGCTTCATTCACCTCTTCGATATTTCTATAACATTTTTTTAACGCATAAATTATATCTTTTATCGTTCTTAAAAAAGGAAAGTGACAAGCTATAGTACGAAGTTTAAGAAATGTCGAATTACATAAGAAACTTCCAATATGACAAACAATAAGATGACCAAGTTTCTCTGAATGTTGAGATTCAGAGCTGCAGACGTCAAGATTTTTCAGAAAATCATAAGCATCAGCATAATTTAAGTCGTTCAGTTTTTCAAAAAGCTCTTTAATTTCTATTATGGTATGAATATCGGGCATTTTACAGTATTTATTACATAACCAGACATCATGATTTTTTGTACCCTCAAGTAAAGGTATAATATTAATTGACTGTCTACTTTCGTTCAACATTATAACATCTATTTTACTCGAATCAGATACAAGCAGCCCGTTTCCAAAGTCATAAACTGATTCGAAAAAATATGGTTCTGAATGCGAAAAGTGCATTGAAGTACCGCATAGTGCTGCAATTGCATTATTAATATTATCATTGGTAATGCTAATATTCCTTGAGCGACTCAAGCTGACGGTCGCTTTATCTTTTAATTTTTTCAATGTACATTTAGCGTCTGATATGATTTTGTCTCTAATCGAAATAACACGAGAAATTAAAGACTCGGCTTTGATTTCAGCTTCGGTTACAGAAGGTAAATTTAAGACAGGTATAATTTTTTTTACCCAATTATGTTTTTCGTAAAATAATTTTCTTGTACTGTGTTTAACATTTATGACAAAATATTTACGCTTTATATTTAAAGCACGTTGATGTTTAATTTTGATCAATCTAGATTGACGATTTATATTGTAATAATTTCTTCGACTTTTCAATACTTTGTCTTTATTATTTGCATAATATTTTTTTTGAACTGTTAATATGTTGTCCTTCTTTTTTTCATAGTATTTTTTTTTATCTGCTAGTATTTTATTTTTATTTTTTAAATAATATGCCTTTTTATCCTTTGTACGATCTCTTTTTTGTTTTATTTGTGTATCACGCGATGACCGTGTGAATTCATTTTGAAGGGAACATATATTTGCATTACTAGTTAACTTCATAATTTTTGATGGCCGTGTACTGATAGTATCAACGTAGTATGAATTTACTTTTCTTTTTAATGTCATTTTAATATCTTGTAAACATTGTGAGTCCTCTTCAACTTCTTGTAAAAAAACCACATAAGCATTTTTCATGCAAGTCACTGATGATATATTTTTAATATGTGCATCATTAACTAAAAACCAACATTTACCTTGCCGAATAATATTATAGTAATGCCCACTACTTCTTGTGATCCCTTCATGAAGGATGATACTACTAATTGAATAATACTTATTATTGATACGAACGAATTCATTGATATCATCAAGGATAAACTCATTATTTTTTATAAATTCTCGACCATTCCAATGAAAAAGATTGATTTGCGTCACTATAATTACATTATGAGTAAGAAAATCAGTAGTTTCATAGTATTTGAATTGTTTGCAAGATAAACAATTCACATCACTTGATATTGGACATTCAATGTTTGTATCGATCAACTTTTGTAATGAACAATGAGACCTATTGTCTGGTAAATTCAAAAGGAGAATATTATTGGAATTGATTTCTAAATATTTGATATTACCACATTTTATGTTCGGACATATTAAAATTGATCGCATTTCATGTTCAATTATAAATCGCAATCTCTCTGATTTGGCAATAAGATGGCCCATAAATTCTGGAATATCTTGTTGCCTTTGTTCTGCATATATTTGATTAACAAAACTTCGTAATCCCTTTATATCTACTTGCTCTTTATTATTATTACTTTTTAGAATATATTGAGATATTATCACAGACAACTTATCAGTAGAATTGTAATCAACAAAATAACTTCTAATTATTGGACAATTTAATAAACTTTGTATAGACGCATTTGCATAACAAGAGACCCCATCGAGATTGGATAGTCTAACCAATTTCCAATTATCATTTATTTTTAAAACTTTATTAACTTCATTTAAATATTTTGTTTCAATTGCCGAAGTATCAAATGCAGGTGAAAATTTACTTATATTTTTAAATTGAGATTTGTTATTTTGACTTGATTATTTGACAACCAAATTATTTGGACTAAAACTATGAGATTTATCTTTACATAAAACATTAATTGCTTCTGCTAAAGGAAAATGTGTCAATTTACAATTTTGAAAAGTGTTGAATAAATGTGATCTCATTTTTCCATAATCATATATAATTTCTGAAGGATTGTTATTTAAAACTAAAGACGTTGCAAATGCTATCGCTAAAATACCGCAGTCTCTATCATTTTTTTGGTATTGCACTCTTTCGAAAATAAGCTTATCTCTATTAATTTTTCCATCTATCGTCAAAAAAGGAAACAGCTGACTCAAAAATCGTTCATGACAAAGATGCAACTGATTTGTATTCAGTGAATCATAAATATGGATAAACTTAGTGTCGTAGTAAGAACATATCCAGTGTCCACCTATGCATTCTTTACATAAATCATTACAACTATGTAAAATTTGAATATGTACTAAATGTCTAGGGACATATGGAAAC